TACTCATTTACTCATGTTCCAAAGAAAAATGGGTGATGCAAAAGTCCCTCTTTCATATTTAAAAAATAAGGGTCTATATGGACCATTTTCTCTACCTGTGATGGCTCTCTCTGCAAATTGAAGAATTTCAGATCTTCTCCCAATTTTCTCTACATGGATGTCCAGTGATACACCTGGGTGTAAGGCACGAAAGACCAGGACGTATATTAGGTTCCAATTAAACTGATTTATTGCTAGTGCCTATGCATAGAAAATCTAGTCAGTTAATGGTGAGCACTATTTTGGCGCTAAATAAGGGTTAATGGAATTCAACAGGGATTGGAGTTATTGTGCTTGTGGCAACATAGAGATTCTGGGCTAATTCCTCTTTTGACTCCGCCTCTGGGCTCTGCCACTCCTTCTCTTACACTGTGAAATTTAGTGTGAGAATGTAAAACTCTTGTGGGATTCTGTTCTTCTGCAGGGTCATCACAATTTTGTAAGGGTTTTTTTCCCCACCTCTGGGAAAAAAGATGTCTTCCTGGCTATCAAATGGCTTTGTGAAACTGTCCCAGGTTGTTTTTTTTTTTTTTAATTCCCTAGGAAAATAATTGAGGAATTTACTCAATTATGTTTCACTCGGGTCTAAATTTAAGCTTCCCCAGAGCAGCTGTTTGTGTCTTCCCTTAAAGTCTTCCTGTTTTCTTTGCAGAACTGGAGAGGAGGAACTGTGGGGAAACTTGGGGAAACTTATTTCTGCTTATCTAGGAATGTGGGCTTGCACAAACGGGAGTGGGTAAGTGAGCATCAACGGGCTCGCCTTTTGGAGATCCAATTAACGAGGTTCCAAATAAAGGAAAGTAGGTCAGCGTACATTTGGTTGGCTTTAGCTGAATAGGACATAATGGATTATGTCCGTTTAAAAAAGCAACTCTTTGCTTCCAATTAGAGCGAACGGTAGGATTCAGACTGGAGAGTCAGCGGGTTTTTTTCCTTCTTGCCCCTTGAATCAGTGGGGGGCGGGGGTGGAAAATATTTATATATTTAATAAATTTATATAGTCGTGCATCTTTGTAAAATATTGCTGGGTGGCTCACAAAACTTAAAATGGAAGCATATATATATATATATTCAAAATGTTGTGTCTGACAAAGAGTTAGTGGGAGACTAGTGTAGCTATTTCAGGCTCATTAGCCCTCATCAGCTAGCCACACCCTTCAGGGATTCGAACCTGGGCAGCTTGCATGTTAGGCAGCTGTATTACCCTTTTGAGCCACAGGTTCCCTCTTACTCCTGTCAGCAGAAACCAGGGAGGATATATATCTTATCTGTTGGGTGAGGCACCCGGTCTACCAAATATAAATCAGTCTGTTCTGCCTTTCGCTCCAATCTAGGAGCATGTTTTGCAGGTTTCCATAAATTTGAATTTATAGTGTTCACAGTATGTGAGGTCTGCACGCAAAACATATGGGATTGCTAACAAAGAGTTAAAGGGGGACTGGGATAGCTATTTCGAGCTAATTAGCTCTCATCAGCCAGCCATACCCTTCTGAGATTCAAACCTGGGCTGCTTGCACGTTAGGCAGCTGTGTTGACCCCTATGCCACAGGCTCTTTCTCAGTTTGTCAGCTGTATCAGGGAGAGAAGAGAATATGTCTTGAGTGTTTTTTGATGCACCCTGTCGGCCCAAATATGGGAGGAAGAAATCTTTGCCTGTATCAGCCCATATAACATTGATGGCTTCCGCTAGTTTTTCTCTGTCGCCACCCTGGTCCGCAAGTCTTCCAGTGAGTGTCCCCATCCCAATTGCATCTCCTTTGCCTCTGGTCTTCTTCATCTTCTCAATCCTTTCCCAGCATTGGAAACTGATGGTCAGCAGCAGAAAGCACACGAATCATGATACATGGAGGCTGGCCATAGACATAAAAACAAGTGTTGCTATTTTAAAAGCTGCCATGCGAAAACAATCAACCAAAACAACTGTTGGGCCATGCCAAACAGACAGAGATCAGGCACCACCAGAAGGCTGGCCTTAAAACACAAGGAAAGGGTGGGGTAATAAGACCTTGCCTGGCCTCTGGGGATCACCCTGCCCTCCACAGCCCCTGAAGGCAAGAACAAGAAGAAACTAGAAACTAATCAAGGGGAAAAACAACCTGGAATTAAGGAGAAACTTCCCAATAGTAAGAACAATTAATCACTTGCCTCCAGAAGTTGTGAACGACTTGCCTCCAGAAGTTGTGAATCCGCCAACAGTGGAAGTTTTCAGACAACCATTTGTCTGAAATGGTATGGGGGTCTCCTGCTGGAACAGGGGGTTGGACTAGAAGACCTCCAAGGTCCCTTCCAACTCTGTTATTCTGTTAAACAGCTTGCCTGGTCTCAGCCTTGCCTGGCTTTCGTTTCTTATGGCTTTTGTTCAGTAACAAATACAACAGGAAGCTAAATGACAATAAAATAAATCAGGGGAGGGAGTTGGGTGGAAGTGGCAATATTAAAAAAAAAGTCAATGCAAATAATCCTTTGTAACCAGGGCTACACAAAAGTATTGTGCTGCCTACAGCAGATGTGATGGGGGTGGTTGACACCTCCACCCACAGGACCCGCTGGAGTGACACTCAGCTGCCGTGTTCATATCTTAGACTCAAAGCAAGTCAAGTCGGAGGTTATTAAGCTGGTGAATGATTTCAATGGGAGTAGAGTCGCAATCACATTTGCACTGATGTAATCCTGAATCCCATTGAAGATGAGATCCTTTTGGAGTAGACATGTAAAGTCTGTAGCTTTTGGGGTGAAAAGATCCCGGACAGCCTGAAACAGAATCATCAAATCCTTAAGCTGTGAGGACACGGGGAGATTATAAAATCCCAACTCTTGTCCTGTTACAGGAATCCGGATGAAAGTTAGGAGGGAGAAGACTGTCTAATCTTCACATCAAAAGGTCTAATGAAAAGGAAATGTTTATTGCTAGATCCACTGTTAAATTGTTCTTAAGCTGTAAAGACTTTTTTCGTAACAAATCCATCTCAAAGTTCCATCCTATACTTCACAACTGTACAGTTCTGGACCTTGCAATTGTATTCTTCTTTTGTGACCCGGTCCTCTTTCCATTTCTTGTGTGGGTCCTCCTTCGGTTTCCCTCTTCTCCTTAGCTTTTTTGCCATCACCACTGGCTTGGTTTGCCATCTTCCATATTTTTCTCCATATCACAATTGTTCACAACTGTGCTTTTAACATCATCTTCTTTAGAAACTCCCACAAGAAACACTTATGAATTGGGCTCACTCAGCATATTTAATCTTGACAATTCCTTTTCCATACCTGGATTTGGGTTGGATTGTCACCATTTACTACTGTAAGTGTGCTTGTGTTGCCAATGCAACCGGTGTTTCATTCATGTTTAAATATGTGAACATGGCCATTTATAATCCCCATTAGAAAAAGAAGTATTCTAATTTTAGCACAGGGCAAGATTGTCATCCTGGTTCTTGCGCAGTTAATCTCGTCCCAGATTCTTTTTTCTTGCAATTTGCACTGTTCTGTGCCTTTAAAAAAGGAATTGTGTCCATTTGACGACTCAGTTCCTAGCTTTAATTGAAAAAAGCATGTGTTTTATTTTGGGTCTCACCCTATTTCCATTACTATAAGACCTGTTGGTCAACTTGCAAGCTTATTTTCTTCTTTCCAGAAGGAGGGTCCCGTTGTGCATTTTAGGCAAGCAAAACAGCAAGAAAATCTGCAGTCAATCTGGGTTTGCCTCAAAACTTCAACTTCTTTCAGGGAGATTGAAGCTTCTTGTCTTCAAGAAAACGCTAGCAAACCTCTTTATCAAATTTGCTTTGCTTCTTGGATTGGACTAACTTTTGGCCTTGTCTCCTCTGGAGATTCTCCATCATCCACGGTCCCAGGTTGTCCCAAAGGTGCTTTTTCAGGAGGCAACTGGACTTTCTTGTTTTTCTTTGAAGATGTTTCGCTTCTCATCCCAGAAGCTTCTTCAGCTCTGACTGGACGGTGGGGAATGGAAGGATTTATACTCCTTCCATCATTTATAAACCTGCAAGGTCCAGAACTGTACAGTTGTGAAGTATAGGATGGAACTTTGAGAAGGATTTGTTACGAAAAAAGTGACTCTCAGAGAGAGTACTAATGACTCTCAGAGAGAGTACTAACGACCAGATGACTGCAAGGAATATAAATCCTTCCATTCCCCACCATTCAGGTCAGAACTGGAGAAGCTCCTTGGATGAGAAGCGAAACATCTTCAAGGAAAAACAAAGGAAGTCCAGTTGCCTCTTGGAAAAAAAAAAGCACCTTTGGGTTTTGCACTTTTCCCATTTTCTTTTCCCTTTTTAGGTAAGATATCTAACTTCACAATACAAGCCACAGTTTTTGTTTTCTTGGATCCAACCAACCCTTTAAATCTTTTGCCCTCTCCTTTGTGGAGTGACCAGAGATGGGAACCTCCTGGTCACCCTGGAGATGGCCTTTGCCAAGAAACAGGAGGGGGTCCCTCGTGTTCAGTGAGAAGAGGGTAACGCACCCTGGCATTGATCCAAATCCCGCAAATTAAAGCCACTAATGATAAAGATGCAAATGCATCTGATGATTAATCTGATATTTGACAAGCTCCAGAGTGCTGTTCTTTTCAGCTGAGAGCGGAGCTGTAGCGCGCTGGAGCTGGCACTGAGACGGCGGGCGTTCGGCGTGCTCTCTTGTGCCTCTTCCTTTCAGCACAGTCTTGCTTCTTTCCAAACAAACACTGCAAAGTCTGGAAATCCGGAACGGGTGCCCTCCTAGCAGCAGAGAAGTAAGAAGCCTGGTGGTGTCGGATGCCTTTTTCTTCTGGGGACCAGGCCACAATCAGCACCCCAAAGCATCCAGATGCAGGAGAGCAGGGATTTCAGTTAACAGCCACCTGGTCACTTCAATTTCCTTCGCCGTTCTGGCTGTGCTGACAACTTTTTTTTTTTTTTTGCATGGGAGGCACAACCCCAGTGAGAGGGACTTAAACTTTGCTTTGGTGGCTTGGCAGCTGATTGGCATGAACCGCTGTCTCGGACAATGCTCTCCTTGGAATGGGAATCGGAGGGTCTGCAGACGGTGGGCATCGTGGTGATTATCGTTGCGTCTCTGAAGCTGCTGCATCTGCTTGGACTGATAGACTTCTCCGAAGGTAAAACAGTGACTCTGAATTGTTCCCTTGGCGGGGAGAGCGGGCTGAGACCGGCTGAGCTCCGCAAGTACATTTGTGTACAGAGAATGAAACGTGCAGCTAACACACTCGTGCCCAAGCAGCCTCTGCAGTTCAGGGTTTTTGCATGGATTGTAAATCACAGTTTTTGTTTTTATTTCTCCGGTTCAGTCACCGCAGCTTCCCCTGATGCTGCGGGGTTTTTTTTTGCAGGATGGAGGCAGAAATGCATCTCTCTAATAAATCACATCACCAGAGTCAGAAAGTTAGCATCTGTCTTAAACAGGTTTTCTCCTTTGCGTGGGGATGGTGGCTTCGTCAAACTGGAACTTTTCTGATGCCATGATTAATGCGATTAATGTTAAAGGGTTGTTTTTATGCACAAATAGGCTTCTGGAAAACTATTTTGGGGGTGTTCTGTTGAATTGTCATTTCAAAACCGGAGGAGGTTGACCGGTTGAGGAGTCAGTCAATATTCCAAGCCACCCGAGTATTGGTTGAAATTTGTGTTCCTGGGCACAAATGATAAAATGTTTTTAATATATTCGTATTTGCCTTGCAGTCTGTTCAGTTTATTTCTTTGTAAAGGAGCACCAGATGTATAAACAAAACTTCCCTGTAGAGGAAGATGAGCTTATGAGCATCGTATTTTCTTGGGGTTTCTTTGCTAAATCTGGTGCTAAAAATTAAAACTGTAGCGCTCTGATTTAATTCTCTAGATTGCAAGAAAACTGAAATTATTCAGATTGCTCACACAGTGTTTTTCTCCCCAGCCGATTTCCTTAGAAGTTGCACACGCTCAGAATCTGCCAAAAATTTTCTTCTTATCTTCCTCTCTTTTGTTTTATTCACCTGTGTAATGTCTTCAGAAAGTGAAATTGGCAACCATTAACTTCTTAAGAATGGCTAAACAATTCTGCCTTTACCTTAAAAGACATGTGAGTAGAAAGAGACTCTTCTAAAATCTAGACTTCATAGAAAACTTCAAAATTATTCCGATAGTAGTTAATTTGTCAAGACTGAACAGCAATAAATAATTTATAAAAGGTAAGTTTGACTTGAGTTCAACTCAAGATAATGACATAGGCATGTTGGTTTGTTGGCAAAAATTCAGAAGTAGCTTGCCATAACCATATTTTAGGCTGTGTTTTCCAACTTCTGAATTTAACCTATAGTTTGGGGATTTTCCAAATACTAACCAAATCTAATCTCACTTAGCTTTTTAATAATATCATGCAGGGCCAGCTGGGAGTTATTGCTTGCTACAAGTTGATAAATCTTCACCTCATTACTAAGAATAACTTTGTTTGTGATATTTTAAACTTAGGCCCGAATAATATTAACTATAAGAATATAATAAGAATACAGCCGATGCAAAATAGCAAAAACCCTTTGATTTAAAAGGGCAAATTGCATGACGCATCTAAAAAGGGGTGCAGGATCTGAGATACATTGATAGTTCTTGTGTTAATAAATCCTTTTAATTAGGTAGAAGAAATAGGCTAGGTTATACTTCAGCTCTGCAAAGCTTGGGACTTAATTCCAGTCCTTAAATAATAATTTAAGTTAGGGTTAGAGTTGGAGAACAGGTGTTCCAGTCAACATGGTAAGATTATGCTAGGTATAAGATGCAACATGTGGTTTACATATACTGTAGATGTATTTGTAAAGATTGACCGTGGTAGCATTCTAGTCCACATTGTGCATAGGTGAAAGACTGGGCAAAAACTAGATAAGGCAGAGGGTAGCATGAGATTAATGTGTGTGTGTGTGTAGGCGGAGTGCAAAAAGAGAGTTTAGTTTGGGGTTGAAAACAGGGAAAGAAAACTAGACTTAGAATTTGTACCAAAGAGATGATGATCATGGTGTTGAAGTCTTGTTTTGAACCATACTTCCCAAGGTTTGCAAGAACTAGATACGCTCGTCAAAGTCTGTGCATCTATTTTCAGCTAAAAATGACACGCCAGTCTGACTAAGGTGTTTTCTTGAAATCTTGAAACTGAAGCCACAAAACTGTTTTCTATTTATGCTGGTTCTCTGCAGTCCCAGGATGTGCTTAGCAGGCATTTGTTGGTTTGAACTGAAATGGTGACCTAACAGCTCCTGCAAAGTCAGTTTGTGCCTCTCTGACCTCAAGTGCTAAGTGAATTAAAATGTTTTGTACAGAATAGGATAATTACAAGGAGGGGAACTAATCCTGTCTTTATTTTTAGAAGAGAGAGAGAGAGGAGGGGGAGGAGAGAGGGAGAGAAGAGAGAGAAAGAGAGAGAGAGAGAGAGAGAGAGAGAAAGAGAGAGAGAGAGAGAGAGAGAGAGAGAGAGAGGAGAGAGGGAGAGACAGAGGAAGAGAGACAGAGGAGAGAGAGAGGAGGGAGGAGGGAGAGACAGAGAGAGAAGAAGGAGAGAGAGGAGAGAGAGAGGAAAGAGGAGGGAGATGAGAGAGGGAGAGAGAAGAGAGGAGTGAGAGAGAGGGAGAGAGGAGAGAGGAGAGAGGGAAAGAGGAGAGAGGAGTGAGAGAGAGGAAGAGAGAGGAGAGAGGAGTGAGAGAGGAGAGGAGGGAGAGAAACAGAGCAGAGACAGAGAGAGAGAAAGGAGAGGAAGACGAGGAGAGAGAGAGGAGACAGTGGAAAGAGGAGGGAGAGGAGAGAGGGAGAGAAGGAGGGAGAGAGGAGGGAGGAGGGAGAGAGACAGGGCAGAGACAAAGAGAGAAAGGAGAGAGGAAGACAGAGAGAGGAGAGAGAGTGGAAAGAGGAGGGAGAGGAGAGAGGGAGAGATGGAGAGAGAGAGGAAGAGAGAGAGAGAGAGAGAGAGAGAGAGAGAGAGAGAGAGAGAGAGAGAGAGAGAGAGAGAGAGAGAGAGAGAGAGAGAAGTTAATCAGATCCTCTTCCAGGATTCTGTGCTTATCTTACTCTGGGTTGATGCTGGTTTCATTTTACGATTAAGCAGGGAGAGTTTCTCAAAGTCTATCTGAGTTTAGATCCCAGTTTTATCAGAAAAACTGGCTGCTACAGTATATAGTTGATCCTTTCCAGCCAGATCAGAAGGAAGGGAAAAGCAATTAAAGCATCGACAGAACTGAAGGACGATCCACGGAGTTTCTCTGATTTCTGTTCAGTTTTCAGCACTCGAGGCAGCCAACAAATAAACAAACAGATAAAAATTGTCCCTTAATGGACCATTTAAGTCAATTGTTATGGTTTAAGAAGGGTTGAAGTAAAATCTGTGTTTTTGCCAAAGCTGTTTTTATCTTCCCAAATGTGTTTAAGGTTGCTATCTAAAGATAATTAAGACAATAAATCCCCCCCCCTCAAGAAGTCTTCCCCAGTCAGGAAAAGTCTGGCTGATCTTGCATTTTGAGGGATCAATAAGTGAAAACAGGATTTATCCTCATTCACTTTATCTTATTTAGAACATCTTGTAAAAATACACATTAAAATGCACATTACACGAATCAAGCTGTAATTAAAGAACGAACGCAAAACACAACCCTGGGCATCGTTGCCTCTGGCTTTGGAAAGAGAACTACTATGTCTAGCTTAATTTCAGACGTAACATGGTTAAATGGAATCTCTTTATCGGCCTCTATAAAATTATTCATTAATCTACTAAAAGGCCACCTGCACATTTTAAGAGTCCATTTGGTGAAAAATCGAAAGGCGAAAAAAATCAGCAATAATTCTGTTTGCGGACTCTCTTTTATACTTCTGCAAAAGGAAAAAGAAAAAGCAGCCTTAGTTCTTGGAAATATTTATTGTGCTTTTTTAGTTTATTTAGTTCAAGAAGTGAAAAGCAGAGTTTGTAAGCTAATTTACACCTTCTGGTTTTCACCTATCAAAATTTCATGTCCACAGAAAACAGATTCGTCTATTTCCTTGAACTTTAAATAATGTTCCGCTAGGATCTCATCCCCCGTGAAAAGTAGCCATTAAAACCTGGTGAACCAGATATACAAGTAGTCCATAATAATAATAATAATAATAATAATAATAATAATAATAATAATAATAATAATAATAATAATAATAATAATAATAAAGTTGGAAGGGACCTTGGAGGTCATCTAGTCCAACCCCCTGCTCATGCAGGAAACCCTATACCATTTCAGACAAATGGCTGTCTAGTCTCTTCTTAAAAACTTCCAGTGTTGGAGCATCCACCACTTCTGGAGGCAGGTTGTTCCACTGGTTAATTGTTCTCACTGTCAGGAAGTTTCTCCTTAGTTCTAGGTTGCTTCTCTCCTTGATTAGTTTCCACCCGTTGCTTCTTGTCCTGCCTTCAGGTGCTTTGGAGAACAGCTTGACTCCCTCTTCTTTGGGGCAGCCCCTGAGATACTGGAACGCTGCTATCCTGTCCTCCCCCCTCGTCCTTCTCTTCATTAAACTAGACATACCCAATTCCAACAACCGTTCCTTGTATGTTTTAGCCTCCAGTCCCCTAATCATTTTTGTTGCTCTTCTCTGCACTCTTTCTAGAATCTCAACATTGAGGACTACCTGTATTTAGACTTTCTTCTCTTTTTCCTTCCTGCCTTTTAATTCTTTTTTTGGCCCATGCGTACTACTTTTATTTCCTTGCTTTGTTACACATGAGTGTTTACCTTGAATTGGCATCGGGATACCAACTCATAGACGCTGCTCTTAAAAAGACCCAAGGCTTTTGTGCGTGAGAGTTTCTTAAATTCTTAAAGTAGACACTGAAAGAGAAATCTCACTTTTGCTGCAGGTGTAATCGGCTGTCAAAACGTTCATTCAGCCCAAAATCTATCGCCAGATGTGCTCAATTAAATGAAAGCTAAAAGGTCACTGTCACTTCCAATTGTGCTGTGGCAACGCACATCAATAGTTATTGAATTATTATTTTGTACTGTCTGCTCCTTTAACTCTCAAATGAAGATGAGTAACATTATTCCCCCCCCTCTTATTTATTAAGCATTCAGGAAACAAAACAGAACAGAACAAAACCAACTGCAGGTTATTCTGTGTT